CAGTCTCTTTCTGAATCCAGGACAAGGCCAGCCTACTCGTGCCTTTAAGTTTTGTTAAGGTTTGCTGTAAAAACCTTAAGTGTGTATTAACTGCAACCACTCCTGTAAGGCAGGATGATGCCTGGGAGGACTGGCTCTCCAGAAAACTGCAAGACACAGATTTTCTTCACATTTGGCTATATTATTTCTGTTCACTTTGAAATGATGAGTATCAAAGCATTTAAACCAAGTTCTGCTTCACATTTAATGTATTTTAATTTTCTTCTTCTAACCTATCAGCATCAGAGACCTTATTGCCTCAGCCATCTTCTGCTATTTTTTGCAGGATTTTTTGTGGTAGAGACTTGAGATGATAGCTTGTTTTAGCGCTATGTTATTCCCTTTCTAAATTCAATTTTTACATGAGTCAGTATCTCAACTTACAAGTTATTTGACTAACTGTTTAATGACCTACGAAAAAATTGTTTTAAACCCATACATTTAGTAGAGCCACAGAAGAACATTCATCACACCTTCCTCATCTTTCCACAGGTACTCATGTAGATATATGTAATGAAAACAAATATCTTTCATATATCACTGCTGTGTTTCCCTTAGTTTCCCAAAGAGGGACGTAAAAGGAGCTGCACTGTTAAGAACAGCTTTCACAGTTAAAATGACACAGATGAGGTTTTCACTTTCAAAGTACACTTACTTAAACACTTCCTCCACCTCTTCCCTAGTCTGCATATCTTAATTAATATGAATTCTTATACAGAACGATAAGGTTTTTGTAATTAGGCAGCATGGTTAAAACATGATTTTCCAAAATAAAAACCTTATCTATGGCTGAAATATGCAAATAAGCCATCCACACCTTTACTGAAGCGTTCCTTTCCCACTGCAAGTTCATCACCTTTCCCTTCCTTGTCTGGCTTCCTTAGCAGTTTCTGTTTTTTGTGTCAAAAAAAAAAAAAAATGGCCTACCTCTCATAAGACAACTGTGTACAAGACCTGTTTTTTCAAAGACACCACAATGAAGAAACATAGAATAGTTCCTTCTGGTATGGGGGAGTCAGGAACTCCCATTTGTGTTCATTAGGACTGTTTATTCCAAGAAGCTACAAAGACACAGATTTGAGTGTCTCCTGTAGGAATGTAGATTACACAAGTATATACCAGTTGGTGAAAATCACTAATTAGTTTGTTCTACTCATTGTCTGGAAGCTGTCTGGTAGAGTCAAAGATGCAGTCAGTTTCCCTTGAGAAGCTCGTGTACTCAAACCACCATCAAGACTTCAAGAAGCTCAAGAAATGGCAGTGGATGTTATAAAGCAATGACCAGAAGTTCTCTGATTCAATGCTGAGATTTTCTCTTGGTCAGCTTTCTGAAAACAATGTGCCCTTTTGCTGGTGACACAGAGCCACTGCTGTGCAATTCTACCTGCCATTATGTCCTCCTTAGCACAGCAAGGATTAATCTTGCCAGGTGAGTCACTGTCCTTAAAGGGCTGTCAGCCTTTTTCACTCAGAAATAAGTTTTTAAATATTCCAGAAGTATTCTTAGTGTGTCAGTCAAGTCTGCAAAGGTGTGATAAGAAGAATTTAAGAGAACTGGGTGTCTGCTCCCATTCTGATGTCTTTCTCCTTATATGCTGTGCTAGAGAAGGAAGAAAAAGTAGTCAAGGTACTTTGGAGGTACTATTTCAGACACAGGAGGAGCCAAGAGCCACTGCTTAAAATAAAGGCAAATTATTATCACACCTCACTGTGAAGCAAACTTTTTCCCAAGTTCTCACAGGTACAAGCATTAACATCTTGTACAGAGGCATGTTGTACAAAGCACCATTTCTACAATTGGCCTCCACCTCCATTGCACTTCTGGGAGCTGCACATCTCACTGGGCTCAGCCTCACTCACGGGTGTGTAGTGAATGGCTTCCGCTGAGTCCTGCAAGGGCTGTGATTCAGAGTACAGAGATGTTTGCCTACAGAAGCAGCCTATGCAATCTGCTTTGAATATAAAAGTGCATGGGCACACCACCACAGCCTGAGCACGGTCCTTAGCATTTTTAAAAATCCCAGCCAATGCAGAGGTGTTCATTTTTTGACCTTCTACCATCTCTTTTAAAGTCTGCGCAGGTGGCCTCACATCCACCTGCTAGCTGAACCTGATGAAAGGTAACATGATGTGGTTCCCAGCATACACCAACAATTCCTCAAGCCAGCAAAAGGAAGACTGTATAGAAATTTTAGAAAGGTATTTGAGAGAGGAGACATCTGGGTTGTACTCCCTGCTCACTTAATTGCTTTGTGGAAAGCAGAGCAACTTTATCAGGAGCGACTGAGATCCTTAATGGTAAATAAGCTGTAAAAATGACCCTTGTGTGGGAGAAGAACCTCAGTCAGAGAGACAAAGTCCCAGATGTCCCAGGCAAGCTTTTAACCATGGAACTAGTGATAAATCAGCATTGTGTTACTCTCTCAGCCTTCTGAGTCTCACAAATGAGACACATGGGAAATACATATATTTTATATATATGTTACAACACATCTAGTGGCTCTGCGCTTCAGAACCTAGGTGAATGTGTGCATGCTCAGCAAAGGCAATGTAAACATCTGTAAGGCTAGGATTTTGTGCTCCCTACATGATAGGCTTACCTCATGCACTGTGAAGCAAAACCAGTTCAAAGACTGCATGCCATGACCTCAGTTGCATTGATACAGCTGCAAGCAAGGCAAGGCTGTAAACCAGACTGTTAAGGCAGTGACCATTTGAAAAAAGAAAAAAAAACAGACATCGCCAACCAATCAAAAAAACCCCACAACAAACTAGTTGTCCCTTTTCTGGAGTAATTTTCAACTGTATTCTTTGAAAGTTCAGTTTACGATGCAGTATGACAAGCACTTCTAACAGCATGGTTGACAGAGCAGCAAAGTTTGGTGTAAAGTACAGAAGCAATTGGCCAGCAGAAGCAAAAACTTCTAAAGCCAGTTTTGCAGTTGAATCCACTATACTGTGTAACTCATTTCCCCATATAAAACTAATCACTGGAGTCAAGTTGATCAGAGGTATTGTTTTTTTATCTTCAGATAAAAGTTCTCAGGGCCTGCCACATCCACAAGATCATCTGGTTTTTTTTCCTTTCTTTCTTTTAAATCATGGCACCATCTGAAAAAATAAATGGATACTAAAGCTAGAATTTAAACATACCGTGCCAAATTACTGTCTGCCCAAAATGCTACAAATAGACAGATCAAACATAGTTAAACTGGCATTCCAGGTTCTCAGCAGTCCTGGCAAGTCACAGTCTGAAAACCTGGCCCTCAACACATGTACACAGGGCACCAATGAATTCTTATTTTTACACCTACCCACAAAGAAAAAGCAAGACTGAAAGAAGGAAACTACTGCACATATTCAGACGTATAAGTATCTTATAAAATGAATAACTATGCAAGGAAAATCATTAACAATAGAGCCATCTGCTGTATTTAAAAAAAACTACACCAGCAAAAAATCTGAAAATGGTAAAACGCTTTACAACCTGAATTTTTCACTACTCCATGTTACAAAAAGTGATCATAATGATTAGTACATCAGTTGAAATGACAGGAAATGTGTATTTTTTACACCTCTTCTAATTAAAAGCAATATTTACTGGCATAATACTGATCCTCTGTCTCTAATGATACTAATTGACATCATAGCTGAGCATGTAAAAAGCCTGAAAGCTTCCCATTCCATTTGAAGTAAATAAGCATAGTGTTTTATAAGGAGACAATGAGGTCAGCAGCAAGTTGAATATTTATTTAAATGCTGACAACATGCCTGGATGATTTTTTTCTTGCTCTAAAATAAGAAGTTGTTCCAGGTCTGAAGAGCTTACAGTAGAAAAAAAAAAAATCAACACAAAAATGAGGGAAAGTTTAGAAGACAGATTAATCCACGTGGTTCTTCGTATATCTTTACACTTCTCTCTATCAATATACTTGAAGAGCCCTCTTTCAAGCACGGTGGAAGAAGCAGGTGTCTAGAACAGAGTTCAAAGAACATAGCCTTATCAGCCAGTTCCTGCTTTTGCATCTTAAAGATGGCATTAAAACACAGCCCTAAAATCCTAGTTAAACTAGGGAAAATTATACCAGCACAGGCCCAAAGCTTCAGAGAGAATATACTGCTGTAAATCTCGGCTCAAATGGGTGCTTCACTACATTCAGTCTCCAATGGTTATAGCTATGCAAAAAAGTAATACCTACAAACTATATGCAGGCCCTAAAAACTCTATCCTGCTCATGTGAATCTGTTTCTTAGCTGAACGTTAAGGATAAAAGACAGACTCGTAAACATCAGGTCAGATGTAATCGAGTTTTCAAAGATGGGGAAGACCAAACAACTTTTGAAGTACCAATTAACTGACAGTAGTGAGTGCTACTGCTTTTGAGTGTGCCAGTTAAAACCAGTTATAACCGAGCCCATTCCAGTACCTGCTGGAGTGCGTGGTATTCTCCCTCCTGCTCCATGTCCAGTACAGTTGGTTTCCCAAATTGCACTCTCATAGAGGTGGTTAGAAAAGGTGATAGCAAACCAGAAATGAGAGCTGTCAGCATGCATCTTCACTGGAAAGTTCCCCTGCATTTAATATAAGCTTCCAAGCCTTCTACCTACATACACCACATCTGTAGGTCACCACAATTTCCTGGCGAATATGTGTATCTGCCCCAAACGTATATATTCTTATTAAATATATCAAGGACCAGACATTTGATAACAAGTATTTGTTCCTAAAAATTTTGTCATTTAGCAGTTTTAAGTGCTATTTAATATTTCGTGCAGTTTCTGTACGTTATACAAAACAAGAGGCACTTCACTACCACACCTGTGGCTTCAGTAAAAGCTGCATAATAGTTTTTGCCTCTTATTGGCAAAACTAAACTTTTGCAAGTAGAATTTTTTTTAGATCTTCATAAATAATATAGCAAAGATATTCTTAGCTTAAAAAGAAAAACACATATATTTACCTGCCATCATAGCTATCATACTGGCTTTGTAGACATTAGCAAGGGACCCCAGTTCACCTGTTGCCAAGATTGTTTTCATATGAGCTTCTCCACAGGCCTCACGGCACTGACGGATCTCCTTGTAGAGACCTGTAGACAAAAGCATGTGAAAATGATCAAAGTTGCCTGAGAGACATTTTCAAGTATGGCTGTAATTTCCACTTCTGGATTAATTTCCAATCTTATAATTAGTCACAGCACTCAAGAACTTAAGTTTTGTAAGTTCAATAAATTACATGACTGGAGGTAATTAACAATGCCACACAGTTTCAGACTTAAGTTAATAGCTATTAATGTCGGTTCTCTCAAAACTAAGAATGTGCACAGTATGCCAAACAGTCATGAATACATCAGCAATGAAAAATGCTATGACAGTCAAGATTGATTTTAAAACAGCTTTTTTGGCAATATATACGGTAGTACATTGAATCAGTACTCTGGGACAGTTATGTTTTCCTGTCCACATCACGTCATCATCCCCTTTGTCTCCTTCAGCCACATTTGCCAAATTGCTCAGCCTAAAAAACACCAAAGGTGTGACCAAGTTATCTAATTACAAACATTTGTGCCACCTGAGATGCCATGACATATCCTCCTTGGCTTCACGCTGCCACTCCTGGAGGCTCCACATCTCCCTTTGGTCTCCCACCATCCTCCCTAGTACTGTGGGACCACCTCGGGAAGCCTGATTATGGAGCTAGATGCCTGTGTTTAGGCATCTGAATCCCACTTTAAGCTTCTTGAGAAGCAGAATTTCCTGAAAAAAATTAGTGCGTTCTGCTAACATCCCTGGTGAGGAGATCGAGGCCTGGGATCACACCCCAAGGACCAGTAAATCCGCATGGATCTGTGTTTACAAACCACCTCAAGTAGTTGCATTGCCCATGAGGTTACTGAGGACTTTGACCACTCTGTGCCAAGACCCCAAATGGCCCTGGCAAGGGTGAAGGAAGCACCACGGCAGGAGGACCAACAGAACATCCGCCTAGCATGCTGTGGAGCTGCAGCTCCAAGGGCAGAGGTGGACCCTTGCTTCTGATGCCCACACTCTGTGAGGAAGCCATCTGGAGTTCAGGAAGGAGGTTTGTCATGAGTCACTGTTATACACACAAGCACTGCCACTTGCATGAACACAGACAGCAGGACTGACCTTATATAAAGCCTTTTAGACCAGAGATAAATCAGACCATTATTTCTGTATCTTCACACCACTTGGAAAACAAAAAGCAAACCCTGTCCTGGAGTTGGCCCTCCCTCCCCACAGAGAGCTCCACCACCTTTGGGGGGCCTCTTGCTAATCAGTCTGTCTTCTGACTTTCAGCTCTCCTGAGCATTCATCTCCAAGCAGTCACCGTATCCCCAAGACAAAGCAGCACTCATCTTGCCTGCTCACCTCTTCTCAGTGAACTGCCACTCAACCAGCTGGCCACCAGCTGCAGCCAGGGAGAAGGTGGGACAGGGAGGACAGGCCAGCATTTGGCTGCTCGTGGACATTGTCCAGAGGAGACCACCCCCTCACAAACTCCTGCCTTTGGATTTACAAATTATCATGGCCAGAGGTATGCTTAACTTTCTAACAGTTTTGTATCTTCATAGACTCAGTAAGGACTGGAATAAATTTGGACATAACCGACTGTGTTTTTTAAAAAAGGCTAGAACTTGCAGACCTGGTCAGGTAATGCAACACAGGGAGCACAAGGAAACAAGAAGCTGGCCACTCGAGGATGATTAAGACTCATCCAGTGTTAATGGTGGGAAGAAAAGCAGCACTTATTGTGTAAATCACCATTTCTGGGATTTGGATTAAAAAAAAAAAAAAAAGACATAAAATAAGCAACAGGATCCTTTGCAAGAGAGTCCTTTTCACAGATTGTATTCAATCTTCAAACACATAATCGAAAAGTTTGCTTATGGAAGGCTAAAATACACCTTTTAATCAATCTTTCTTGCTAAAAAAGTCCAGGATATAGCTATGGAGACTAAATTTTTTTCAGCAACACTAGCTTTCTTTTCCCCTCAGAGAGACCTGGAAACACACAGTAGGGTTTGCCGGTTGCTGTATGGCTGGACCTCCCCTCCACCCGTGCTGCTGCTGCTGCATCCAATTGATACCATCAGCACACCAGGCGGCTGGGATCACTGAGGTGGTCCTCTGAGACATACTACACACATTAGTAGACAACTGGCTAATGCACTTAGCAAGTCCCTTTATAGACACCAGGCTTCACCTTGTTTCTTACTGCGTACCAAAGGTGTGAATTAATCAGTACTAGCATGCAGTCTAACATGTTTTATTGATCAATTGATGATACTCCAGAAACCTACATCAAATCGAGACTCAAAAAGGAAATACAAAGAACCTGTTCTATTTTCTTGTGCATTTGATAACACTGCTCATGTTAGATCCAAATGCAGTCTCTTTTTATGGAGCGACTCTTTCCTGAAGCTTTTGGAAAGCCAGAGAAAGCAGCTTTCATGTTCTTCTAGTTTCGGTAACAAAAGACTGATGTTTTCTCTACCTTTATGATAGATCACCAAAAATGTCAAAATAAGACCAACAAAATGTACATTTAGGTCGGATTCCATGAAAAGAAATTATGTCCTCATAGCTGTTGTTCACTGGAGTTAGTACCACAGCTACAGCATCTTCCCTATTGTTGGAAGGTACTTTTATATGCAATTAGCGTCAAGATCACTTGAACAGTCTCACTATCTGACAGCATGCATCAACCCACAGACCAGAACAACTGAGGATCTTCAATCATCCATGTCTATCAGGTTAGCTGAGGTGGTGGAAAAGTGGGCATACTTTAATGGAGCAGGTGTGAAGATAATAAATACTGCTCTTTATTCAGAGACCAATTATTGCAGAAAATAGCTGGCATTCACAGGACATTATGAGCCCTACAGTAAAAGGACAAATACAAATGCAACTACCTCTGTGACTGAGAAAATTAACCAGAGCACCCCAGTCCCAGTACAAGCAGGGACTGCTTTGATACAGAATAAATGCAAAAACTCCTTCCAAAAATAAAAAAGAGGTTTCAGGACTCAGTGAGATTTAAATCAAGACACAAGTAACTTGATTATCCTCAAACTTCCTGGCAAACGTCTAAAGCATGGGTGGAGTTAATCACAGCTGAAAATGTACCCAGTGTTTCAAGGGGACCTGGGCTGCTTCTGGGACAGTCCAAGCTACCAAAAAGTCTACCACTTAACTACTCAGTTCCCTCAAGCTGATCAGCAGCAGGAGTAGAGCTGGACACCATGGTTCTGGGGATACCTGCAACCTATGCAGAACACCAGTAATTGTCACAACAGACAGAGCTTCTCTGGTTAACAGTAGGGGAAGAAAGCTTTTGGGAAAAACCGCTATCACATAAACCCCACAGCCGTATTTTCAGCTGTGAGCTAAGACTACCATGAAGAGGATGCAAGAGATTCTCCTTCCGACTGCTAAAAAACAGGGAAAAGACAATGAAGGGCTCTCAAACCAAATCGCCAGTACTGTGTAGCATCTTGTACACAGCACGAACACACCACAACTACCCATTCCTAAAGAAGTCTAAATATTAAGCCAGGAAAAACAAATAAACAAAAAACCAAAACCCAAAGCAAGCCAACTTATATAGAATATATTTGGAGCCAGATGCTCACTGATATAGTCTGTAGTAGCTCCACCAACTTAGCTGTTAAAGTGGATGCAACGTAAGTACTCTCCTACTTTGCACCCACTTACTTAAGATACCTTGCTGTTTTCATGAACTTTAGATCTGCTTTTATTGGATGCATTTATTAAAGTAAGAAAAATTCTGATTTTATAGGAACAACAAAAAAATATTTTCATATCTATGGTTTTAATTCCACTGTTATAAAAGATAAGTGTTGGAAGGTGGCTTTTTTGTAGTTTTCCTAAAAGTGTAACTACTCAGTACAAACATTATATTGATTTTTTTGCAGCTATTAAATGCACAACAGAAATGTGCCTCCCCCTAACACATCTCTCAGGCAAACATCCCTGACAATTACAGCTGGCTATAATCTGCCCTAGATTATCTAGATGGCCTTTTGCTTTGGTCTAACACATTTGCCCTAAAAATCACATATTAAAGGGGATAATCCATATCTCCTACACAGGAAATGAAAAAATTAAGGCAAAAAAAGAAACAGCTTAAATTTTTATGAAACAGCTCTTCTCCAAAAATGCAGTGATAAAAACGCTTTTCCTTTTTTTGTTGTTGTTTTAAATTCAGTGTATTTGTTGTTTTTATCTAGTCAGTCACATTGACTGATGTTAAGGGTAGAAACTGAGACGAGGAGGGAAGATGTTTCAATTTCTGTTAGACCAAAAGATCAAGGTAATCATGATGAGAAAGTGGAAAATGAGCTCGAATCCCTTCTGTCTTGCACATTAATGGCAGGTTTGTTAACAAAATGACAAGCACAAGGCTATCAGCACAACACGACACTTTCAGTTCTGCTCTCAGCCACATATGTGCAACTCCAGGCTCCAGTGATTCACATGAAACTGAAAACAGCTTGGCTTCAGGAGTCTGAGCTGCTGCTGACAATATAAGAAAGAAATTGTGCAATTAGACTTTGAGGTCCCAAGTCAGCTTGCACATCCAGAAAATGGTATCTCCAATTACAATATTTGTGAACAACATGTGGAGTCTTTGGAGCACAGAGTGTATTTTCCCTACCCTGTTTATAAGGTATGCGGCACAAAAGGGGGCTCCAATCCCTGAACAAAGCCTCTAAACTCACAGTTGAATAATTATTAAGATGAATTGAAAGGCAGCTTTCATAACAAGGTTATACTTAATGTATTCACAGATGCAGCTGTGTTACAACTTCTTAGAGTATACTTCTTTTTTTCTCTTTTCTTGTAGGAAACTTCAACTGACATAGAGCAAAGAATAGGTTATCAAGACCTCTGAAGCCACCGTGGTACGTCCAGGTGTTTGCTAAAAGCTGTGAAACTAGAAGTAACATTACGGTACCCCAGGCAGCTTCAGATGGTACAGCAAGTCCAACATATTCCCTGATAACAGGGAAAAAAATATTTAAAAATCCAGTTTCTTTCAACAACTTGTTGGTCAACTTCATCACTATTTACAAACAGGCTCCACATTCTGGGCTTAGAGATGCTAAATTGTGATTCTTAAGCTTAATACATACTTTGTCGAGTGATACAAGACAATAGTTGAGTAAACTATTATAATTTTGCTCAAAAAGTTAATAGGTTGTAAAAGGTACACAAGTTCATAAACTTAACCTCATTTAATGTTATATTCCAAGCTAAATTAATTGTCCAATAAAGCTGCTTTCATGTTCAGCACTATTAAAAAGCTCTTAACAATTAATTGTAAAGATCTAGAAAAGATATTCTGAGTGTCATAAAGAGTTCCAACAATATTTAAGAACTGCTTTAAAATAACTTGACATAATTGGACATACTAAAATATTTAATAATCAAACAAGTCTTTGAAACAAATCATAAAGCAACACTATTCTATCACGGTGACCCCGATTATTGCACGGGCTAGAAGAAAAGCTAAAAATATATGAACAGTAGAGATCAAGCACTCTACCACATACATATTTTTTATCAATAACTCCTGAAGTTGTCAAGACAGGAAGCATGAGAAAATAACAATAAAAACATACTAGTGTTATAAGCATAAGCTGAGGTTCTGTCACAACTGCAAGGCAGCTCTAGTTTATGAAGTACCTTGAACACAGGCATAGGTACTGCACTCAACCTTTTTCGATTTTATGTAGGAATACAGCCTAAAAAAGACTTCATCATCCCTTCTAGCTTCCTTAAATGTACTCTATACATTGTTGTGTATCATACCTAATCATTAGACAGAGGTGGAAAGCTGCATGTTCATACAGGTAACACACATCTATTGAAAGCTAAACATGAAGTCAAACACTAGATACACACCAAAATATTCAGACCACCTACCAAAATTTTTTGGACGGGCAATCTAAATATTAGAATTTTTCACCCTGTTGCATCACGATCTGTATGGCAAGTAAATTCTGTTCCTGAGGTAGCTTTTTTCAAGACCATGTAAATATGTGCCATACACAGATTCACATTCATAAACAAACTTTCAGAAAACATTTGCAAATAATTTCAATTCTGCCCTCAGTAAAAGAAATGTAAACTAACCATTGCCAAAAAAAGGATGGCTTTAAACCTTGTCACAACTTCATGTGTGGATAAAAGAATATGCATTCCAAATCAGAAGTCATCCCTAATTTACTTATTTAATAAACTGACAGCTTTATACTACATCCATCATTGCTATGCCTGTGTACTCCTCCACTGTAATTCAGACCACAGAAAACAATTTGTTTCCCATATAGAAAAACCTAGGAATCTATACCTGGTTCATTTCAATCACCAATATCAACTTCCTCTCTGAATCTAGCCTTGTATTTCTCCTTTGAGTTCTCTTCCACATAATCCTGGGCAATATAACCTTGAGCCTGTATTTGCAACTGCCTGCATGCACTAACTTTCTGATCTCTGCTCTGTGCAGCTTGCACTTAACAAGAGTTTTGTACCATGAAGTCTGAAGTAACCACAACTATATCAGAAATTGCTACAAGACAGACTTTTTCAGACACAGTTGCAAGCTGCTGTTCTTCAGTTTAGGGGTCATTTTTCAGTCTTGGTGACAGATCACTGCCTCAACTCACTTTGTGCCAAAGACCTAGACATGTCCCAGCAGAGCACAGCTCCAGGAGGGGGTACGTGCTTTGCAGACCATAGGGTAGACCCTAAGAAAGATACAGCGTAGGAAGGTGCGTGTATAGTCTTGCTGCCAGCTAGTACTGAATTTGGCCATCATTCTGTCTTATTCAAAACCACACAATCACCCAGTCTCCATATTCTAGCAATTTCTGGAACTTAAAATAGCCACTCTGAAAGAAGCAAATGGCTGCGGCAGTGCCTATCCTCAAGAAGACAAACATTTGCAAAACTGCATATATGTTAGAGCAAAACAATGGAGATGGCAAATACTACAAAAGAAGCCAAGATGTTACAGGAAGTGGAAACCAGGATATCAGTCCTGAAGACACAGATGCAGAAACTCTGGTTTTGGTTCAATTCTAACTGCTAATTGAAGGAAGACCAAAATCAGAAAATATGATCTGTTGCCATGATGACTTATTTCTTTAACCAAACTCAGGTACCAGGGGTCCTTTATATAAAGTCTTCCAAGCAAACAGGCTATTACAGCAATGCATTACACAACTAAATGGAAAATACACTCCAAGACAATGATGTGTTTACCTTCACATGGAGATTAGTTATAGGAGCATTGTCAGCACTTAAGGCAAACCATTCACAGTACATTAAGGAGCAATTAGAGCAAAAACCATCTTCAGCATTATTGTTCTTGCTAATTAGTAGTAGTCTACAGGCACAAGAACATCAATAATAATATGAACAGTCAATTTGTACCCTTAACTTTCAGGGAAAAGAAAACAACTAAAATACATATTTTTGCCAAGAACTGAAACATGTATATTTAACAAGGTATCATCTACATTAGCAGCCCCTTGGGGGTTTTAACAAAACTGTTCAAATAATTAGACCATAGGCATTCACTTCCATTCCACTTGCTATTTTTTTAATCCTGCACACAAAATCCTCTAAAGGCACAGAAGGAATAGACCTGAATTTTCAAAACTCAAAGTCATTCTGAATACCCAACCTGACAGAACTTGTAACAGCATTCTTTAAAAAAAAATAAAAATCTAACCATTAGTCATAAATTAGTTTGAATCATGGAATGGTTTGGGTTGGAAGGGACCTAAAAGATCATTGAGTTCCACCCCCCCTGCCATGGGCAGGGACACCCTCCACTAGACCAGGTTGCTCAAAGCCTCATCCAGCCTGGCCTTGAACACCTCCAGGGATGGGGCATCAACTTCCCTGGGCAACCTGTTCTAGTGTCTCACCAACCCCACAGTAAAAAATTTCTTCCTAATATCTAATCTAAATCTGCCCTCTTTCAGCTTATAACTGTTACCCCTTGTCTTATCACTAAATAAGTGATAAGTGATAAAGAGTGACTCCCCATCTCTCCTGTAGGCCCTCTTTAAGGACTGGAAGGCTGCTATAAGGTCTCCCCAGAGCCTTCTCTTCTCCAGGCCGAACAGACCAACATCTCTCAGCCTGTCCTTGTACAGGAGGTGCTCCAACCCTCTGTCTATCTTCGTGGCTCTCCTCTGGACTTACTCCCACAGGTCCATGTCTCTCCTGTGCTGAGGACTCCAAAACTGGATGCAGTACTCCAGGCGGGGTCTCACGAGTATGGAGTAGAAGGTGCAAATCACCTCCCTCGACCTGCTGGTCACACTTCTTTTGATGTAGCACAGGTGAAATAGTTTTTATTTAGTTCAGTGCCCCAGACTATCAGTCACTCTTAGTGGAGGGATCAAATTCTTCAAGGACTGATGTGGAGACTGGGGAAATAGACAGAACTTGCACATGCATGTACACAGGTTCAGGTTCCTTGCCAAAGCATGGGTACTTACCTTCCCACTGGCCAGTCAGCACCAGACTCCTGCTAATGACAATGTCAATCTCTCTGGCACCATATTCCACAGCTAGCTTTATTTCAGCCAGTTTGGTTTCTAGAGGAGTTTGTCCAGATGGAAACCCAGCAGCCACTAGCACAAAGGGGGATGCAGGTAGAGGGAAGAAAATGTTTTATAAATTGACCATAAAATTGCAAATACCTCTAATACACCACTGATTTTGAAAATTATTCCTTTTTTTTATCCCTATCACAATTACAAAAATCTAAAGGCACCTCATCCTACCCTCTCTTCATCCAAAAGAAGCATTTGCTCTTCCCTCAAGAACTAATATCCAGCAAGATACTAAGTGCATCTTGCAAGAAGGTCCTTTTCACATGCCTTATTTTTTTCCAAAGCAGCCTACGTAAGAAAGAACAATATCTATTGCCTCCAGCAGAAATGAGCAAACAAGGAGTGAACTTGTATATGAAGCAATACATAAATTTTTCATTCCCCTGATTTTATTTAAGTAGTATTTCAAGTTAAATCCCAGGAATATGTTTAACAGCTAAATCACAATGCAGCAAAAAATGTTTTCAATGATGTCTACTTAAGATTACATTTCTGATGTTTAAGTACAAAACCCAAAGGTAACTTTGGAAATGGAAGAAATAATGACAAAGTATCTCTTTGTCAGAGATCCTCTTTCTCTCTGGCATATAAATGTATTTAGTATGCATTTCTCCCTATACAATAATGAAACAATAACAACAACCGAAAATATGCAAAACAAAACCAGAAAACATGGATCTTAGCATTAAATACCTGATCTAACTTCAAAGTTAGCCCCTGCTTTGAGCAGGAGGTTGGACCAGATGACATCCAGAGCTTCCTACCAACCTGCATAATTCTTTGATTTACTTCTTACTTGTTGTAGATTCAGGACTCATCTGTTGTGTGTGGTGACTGGAGAAGAGCTGCCACTATTAGATTTGTGAGTACAAGTCCTGAACCTGTGGGCTGCACAGCAAGCAATAACCCTTGCCTCTGCACACAGCTTCATTGAATTCAGCTTGTAGGATTATACTTAAAAGACAAACAACTGATAGGGAAAAAAAATGTAATAGAACTCCTTAAATCTCACATTGCAGTTTTATTATCATTATCTACTTAGTGTCTGATGACAACATTGTCCTTAACACTATTCAATTTCTTCTACTTGGCTGAGGGAAATGCTAATAGATCTCAAGGACCTCTTTGAAGAGATTCCAGCAAAACAGATTCGGCGTTGCTGACAAGCTTGAAGTTGAAAGAAAACAAAAAGATTATACCAGAAGCAAATCCTCACCTCCATTCCCTTCCTTCCATCTGCTACCTTTTTAACTTACTCTCTGAAACAAAAGCAAGTCCAAGCTTCTGGATTTTTCTCCATATTTTACAGCATCAAAATATTTAATTGGATATTTTAGAGTAAAACATACCTGAAGCTACGGGTATGTTACAACCAGCAGCCTTTAAGGTATTAACAGCATCGGTGACTCTTGCGGGATATACGCAAACTGCTCCGACAGTAATACCTGCAAAAGCCACAGTTCACTTTTTCATATTTATAGATTTCCACCTTCTCTAGTGCAATCTGTATTATGAACGTGTGTGCATTGTTGGCATCTCCTGCTTCTGCATTCTCACAAGGATTTTAAGCACCTACACTAGCCACTAGCAATATCTGTTTTATTGTTCAAGCACTTCAGGTGATTCTCCATACTGTTACGTCCCTCATGTTCCTTCACCTGACCATGGGAGCAAGTTTGCATTACCAGGAATTAAAACACCAAGATTTTTATCGACAGATAAATTTTTAATGCCAACAGGTACAGTTAAGACATGCTTAGTCAGCAAATCACTGCGAGAGAAACTGCACTGCTAAGCTCTGTCCTTACTTGTTGAGCCAGGAGCAACTGCGCAGTCTTTATGTTAATGCAGTCCTACTGCATTTCCAGTTAAAAAGCTATTCTCTCAAAGTCTCAGATAATTGACCTCACATTTAATACTTCAACTGTCTGAAGAGTCCATAAATCCAAGTTTAAAAAAAAGACTAATCTTTGATATTTTATGTGTATGGTTTAAAACCAGAGGCCCGCTTCCCTGTTGGTTTTACATCATATGACATCAATTGGTGTACCAATGCCCATGTAAAACTGTAATACTTCAATAGTAAGAGCATGTCCCAAATGTCACTGAGATTTTGGTTTTGATAGACCATCGTAAAGCCAACATGACATGACAAAAGTCAAAGGCTCTTCACTGATTACATCTGGAAAAATTCAGAAGAGCTGCTCAGATATAAAAAGGTTTTATTGTTAGTTATATTGACAGTCTGGATTTGCTCTGAAGTTGAATCATGTTTGGTCTTAGGTGCAACACTGAGACTTCAGATGTAGCTTGTAATATCAATGAAAGTTTTGCGACTAGTTCTTAAGGGCTGTCTTCTGCCCCTTCAACTCTGTTGACCTAGCTGGGAACTCCACGTGTGTGTGTCTATACATGATATGCACGCAACCACATACACTCACTACAGGACTGATTCTTTAAAGTAGACTGGGCTGCAAAGATGTCTCCTAGCTTAACTACTGAAACAAGAAGGTAACAGATAATGTTTTCTGACATAAAAATAACATGTTTAGGACTGTAGAATGCATCTTTTCTGACAGGCAAAGTGGCAGGCTTGGTAGTTATACAGAGCAACAGCAGCTAAGCATGAAATCCGAAGGTGTCACATGAGGACTCTCTGCTTCTCCAATTTGGTAAGGACATCAGCAGATTAACAGAATACTCAATTAGTTTCACCTTAGTGCACTGTTATTAAAAGACATACACTGAGGTTACACACTCGTGGCTTCCATACCAAATTTGCTCATCAGGTATCATAACTTACAGTGTCGCCCTGAGTCCATGTTTCACTTTGGTTGCCAAACTGAGAATGGATTTTTTTTTTATGTATCCTCATATTAACTCAAAGAAATAGCTAATTTGCAGTTAGAACTTTAGACAGTTGCTTTAAGTAAGATCATACAGGACCTATTTTTTTTCTCTTGGGACTATTAGCTCCTCAGTGCTGCCTACCATAACTGCTCCCATTATAGGAAAAGAGGGCTATTTTTACACCTTCTGAAATTTGAAAGAATACTGAGGAAATGCAGACATTTTCTCTACACAACACACAAAACCAGTCATACCTTTATCATGCATATCCAAGGCTTTCAACAGATCCTCTCTGATGGGATGTTTTGCTTTAAAGCACAGTCTGTGAACATTTGAAGGAGTATCATCGCCTGAAAGAGTGGTAAGGTCTATGCAGGTGACAGCTTTCAGCAGCCAAGCAGCCTACACAGGGAAGGAAGCAAGGAATACCATATTTCTGTTTACTCTTCCAAAACCGAACTGACTTAGAAGATGCAGGAATCAGAAGCCTAGTTCTCACTCTAAGAATAAGAAAATGTATGGGATATAACATGGAGAATATGCAAAGAATGGTTTTTGACAGACAGGGATGGCGGATATTTGTTCATGTCTTGAGCAGTATCTAATGGCACAGGAAGGATTTGGAATCAAAAGACAGTTCTCAGAATCAAAGGATCCAATTCCATTTTTTTGGTGCAAAAGCTACCTACCACATGGGACTCTAAGAATCAGACAAACACTTTTACCTGGACAAAAAGCATCTTGTTTCAAATTTAATTCTGTAAGACAAAGAGAAAAACATAACCTATGTGAGGGACCTCACTGCTAAAATATGCTCCATTCTGTATAGTGTGCCTGTATCTTCAAAGCTGCATGCATGAAAAATTACACACATGTTTCAAGAGGAGCAAAGGTTTGCAACTGCCAATAACCAGATGAGTGTACACATCAGCAATTTGCATACTTGCATGTTTGCATGCTTCTCCTGCTGTGAGAGTGAAACATGGAATCAGCTGGGGGTAAAAATCCAGACTCCTTGAAACTTAGGGTCTAGACTCCAGATGTTTCCACTTTGTTTTGTGTGAATTGGGAATAAAAGACATCTGTAACTATTTGGTGCAAAAAACAAAAGCAAGGGCTAAGTGACAGGGCTAAAGCACTCTTTAGATGAAAATGATACAGAATTTCAAGACTTACTAACTGCACAATGGAACAGAAGCACAACTAAAAATTTTTGAGATTTTTTGCTGAACAAAAATTGAGCTTAAGACATTATTTTGAGATATTTGTTGACGGTCTTCCAGCAAATTCTCATTTACAGTGATGGCTTCACTAAAAGCTGACATCTCTTAGTGGGCACTTGTTCAACAAGGGGAGAGTTTGCAATAGCAAAGTCCACTTGAGTCCATAAAGTCCCTCCCTGACTGCTCTGCTCTGTGACACGATTTGTCAGTATAGGCAGAAAAATTGGTTGCTTCTTCATGGAGGTATTACTCTGCAAATCTTAAGATGCTGGCTAGCCCACAAACTTTTCACACTTAGCTGATGGGAGTGTCCTTTCTGAACCTGCAGTAAATGTTACACTGAAAGATACTCTGGGGTGACTAAACAGAGTAATGAACCATTACTGGCCTCTGTTAGTCTAAGCTTGACTGCTTGTTTCTAACTGATTTTCACTTTCACCCTATAATACTTCAGAAGGGTTTTTCACTTTAAATGGTTTTAAGTTTCTTTTACTTGGATTTTTTTATCCTTCACTTGAAGGAATTTTTAATCTCATCTCTTATGACATGAATCATAAAGTCATCAAGACAGATGTAGTCAGGGAGTTCTAAGAACTGGTATGAACTTCATTTTTTTAAAAGGGCTTTTCAAACGTATATTTTAGGAAATGGGTTTCAAAATTTGAATCTGTGATGCTACTTAGATTCAAACATGTAAAGGTTCAAAATAATCTCTGTGAAATAAACAGCACATGACCATCCTGTAATGACAGTGTTCAAAAACAGGAGAGATGCTGCTCGCATTCTTCAACGTAAAACCTCACTCCAGTTGCTCAGTATCAGTGTTACTACACAGGAGAGTGGAGAAGTGCTAATAATAATTAAAACACTTGTCCTACAGCCATGTTGAGGGAGCAACACTAAATTCCTTTCTTCCTAATGATTCTTTGTAATCAAAGCCTGTGGCTCTCTATTCCTTTGTTCTTTATATAGTAACTTCTGTCAAATCAGAAGACTTACTTTTTACATTATTGCACCTGCAGTATCTGAAGATAGCTAAGGTCATGGAATACCCTCTGGATTTTCTCACCAACACTATTGCCTAATCCAGAGCCACTGGACTGCTAAACTTGGTATCAAGTGACTTTTTATGCATGAGAAACTCTAGGTAAATGCTGAGCTGGTTTCTAACTTTCCTCAGTTTATGCCCATTTTTTATTTAACCATAAAATTCAAGGCACAAACTTTCAGGTTCATGTAGCAGGCAGGAAGCATTTTTCTATCACCTTCCAGTAGGATCTTACACAGCTACATCAAATTATCTCCAAACTGTCATCCACAAGATCTGTGCTCATTGTGAATGCAGCTTCAGCCACCTCAAAATGGCTGCCCGACATGCTAAGCTCAGGATGACAACTATTTTGAACAGGTTTTTTTAAGAAATAAGTATAATTAAATTACTCTTGCTTTGTTCTATTATGTTACACTGTTAAGATTGATTCTTCATTGTCTCCTTCCTCCCACTTCCAGGTTTTCAGTTACTGTTGCAAGTAAACGACTTGTTTAGCATGCAGCGGGGAGGAATCACACATATTTGCTTGCAGAACAGCTGTTTGGTGAATGAAGAATTAATTTGTCCTTTGGACACCAGCTACAACCCCACGACTGACAGCTCACTGGGAGCTCTGGGTCTGCTGCACGGCATTTCTCAGACCTTGCTCTTGGCTGAACACTGGCAAAGCACTTGTGGCATCCTGCAGCCAGCTCTGCCTGCTGTTCCCCTCTCAGAGCTTCCCATCCTGCTGCCAAGACGGCAGAAGCCAGCACGTGGCCATGCCTCACCTGCTCTGCTTTGGAGAATGTATTTGCTTATGTTGCTGACTGATGGCTTTGCATTATGGTTCTCATCTACCAACTGGAGAAACCAATTGGGCCAGTATCTGTCAATTCTGGTGGGGGGTCAGTAACAGCACAGGTTGAAGGTAACTGCTAAAACACCCTAAATGTGTGTGTTCAATGAATAGAAGACAGCCTTGAAGAAAAGTTTATTTTATTTGTGGCACTGTCTTTAGCAGTGGCTTACGTGAACCTATTTTATATCAAGATGGACAATAACTGATCATTTGCCTTAGCTCAGGAGTTGGGAAATCAGTCCCCTTAACATTAGTTGGCTCTTTTATTTTTTTCTCCTTCTTTTTATTTTTCCTTTCTGCCCCCAGTGCCAAAGCCAGTCAAGATTTTTGAGTTTTAGGTAAGAACTAGTTAAGCAAAGAAGTCACACATATTAGGGATGTTTAAGTAAAGAAAAATCATCCAGGTAGGTCAAATTTGACAGGGACCATGATCATATCTTACAGCTTTAAAATTAAAAAATAAGAAGGCAGCGTGCAGAGAAGTCTGTCTGGGAAACAGAATAAATGTGGTGGGATAGTAATATACAATTTAATCCACTCATGAATAAAGATGACTTAAATTCATTTGCGGTTTTGCCACTCATGAGTTATAAGGTTTTTAACTTGGTTGGATAAATGCATCACTGTATTCCATCCCATCATCATCAAAAACAAATTATTAAAATAAGACATGGACAAGCACATCTTTTAAGTTTACATGCATCTTGAAAAAAATTCAATATTGCAGCCTGGAGAGGGAGAGTGGCTGCTTTAAAAATACAGGAACAGAATGCATAAAAAGAGCACTTACTCGCCAATTACCTTCCACAGTTCTCCATTTTTTAATCCATTCTGCATGCCTCACAACTGCAGGTTGATTCACATGTACTTTTGAGATCCAGTCAAGTTCTGGGGTGGGAAAAAAATAAGAAAAAATGTCTCATCTATTTCTGTGTTCTTTTAATATATGGTGTGGGACTTCAGAAGAAAGTCATAGCTTGGTTTGGGACCTCTGAAGAGCATGTTGGGATTTTATGTCCTTTTGAGGGCTTGCATATTTATCATCAGTCCAAAATATCATAAGAGCATCAACTTCTGTTAGGGTATGATCTGTGAACTGGATGTTTCACACAGCATGTTTTGTTTGCCATAACAACTGAATTAACTTACTGCCGATGGAAGACACCATGCTACCAGTCTGGGACTATGAAGTTTAATACACATGTAGCATATTAAAAAACCCCACAAAACTGTCTTCTGCCATTGCTTGCTGATTTACTTCTTGATTCCAGAGAATATGGCAACATTTGTTCATTCCTTTGCTTGTTTGCTGGCACCCAGGATACAACAGCATTTTTTAGTGCACAAACCTTTGCTTACAGGAACTGTACCTCACACAGTCACCAAAACCTCCAGACAAAGCCTTGCATAACAAAGCATTTGACTTGTTATTGTCTAGAGCTAATTTTACTGAACTTGTTTCTAGGGCCTGATTACCTTCAAGTTTCCGAAAGCACTGAATTCCTGGGCAACACATCTGCCTGGAAGCTGCTGAGATGTATGCTGGCCTGAGAAGTGCTCACCTTGCCAAGCACCCTGGAGGACTCAGGGCAACATCTTCAACGTGTGTATTCGTTCAGATGCCTGCTGCAGACAGCCTGGCTCAGAGTCTCAATGGGTTTCAGCATTCATAAACAATAACCAGACTCCAACAGAAGCAGATACTCAACGTTTACTGAAATAATGTAACTGTCTGAAAACAGAAGCACCAAAAATTAGACACTGCAAAGGGTAACTGACTGATAAAGGAGAACTGAGGGTTCAGGCCCTTGAATCTTGAAATTTCTGCTTAGTATGATAAACCAAAGCCATAATTTTGGATGTCAATAAACAAAAACTGCTCACAGAAGTACACAGGGAAAAGAAATCAGATCAACTTTAAAATCTTTTCTATCTCAAAACATAAATAATTCTTCTAATCATAAAAGCAGTCCATGAAAATACTATGAAGAAAATATCAACAATCATTAACCACCAATCATCACGAAATCAGCACCACCAATCATCAAATACCAGCATCAGTTAAGGTCAGCATATGGCATGGGCTCAGATACTATGACATAATAATTCTGGGTGACTTAATTTATTAAGAGCACCTCATCTCTAGGAGTCTTCTTCATTACTGTATTAAACTTACATTTCCCTTGAGCATATTGATTAAAAACTTTTTTAAACTTTAAAGAAATACAACAGCCAAAATCACTAATTTTGTACAAGAATCTTATCCTCAATTTTTTTCTTCCTACTTTATAGCTTTAATAGCCAAAAAAAAGTGTAGAGCTAATATACTAGCTAAAGTATGTGTAAATACAAGCTTGTTTTCTTAATTAGACTTACAAAAAGCTTTGGAAAAACCAATTTAGGATAAAGATGACTCAGTGGCAATGCAAGACAAAGGCATGAAACACAGCTAAATGAAATCTTGTTCTGAGCACAGCAAGCCACCTTGCTACCACTTTCCTATTACCACATACAAGTAATTAAATGAGCAGCATCTGCAAGGTAAAAATGTGGGCCAAAAGTAAAAAAAAAAAATTAAACCAAAGAAGGAATTTTGAAGGAATCCTAAGGAATTTAAGGATTTCTTCAAGACTTTATCATCGGTCTCTCTGTATGGCGAAAACGAAAAGGAGGAGCTTGCAAAGTTTCAAACCAGTCGAGCAACAAACTCTTATTACTCCTCTCCACTTCCAAAGCCACAGGCTTATTGATTCTGCCCCAAAAGCAAGGAGCTCAACTGCCACGTAGAAAGCAGGTGATAAAAGCTATTGCTACAAAACCCATGGCTAGAACTTTCCTTCTTTTTGAATAACAATAAATGCAAAACATATAAACACAAACAGATGAAACACAAGCTAGTGCAACCTCTACATCCTCTGCAGTTGCTTTAAGGTTGAGGCTCCTATGCGATCAGCAGAGAGCACACATCCTTTCACGTGGAGCGTTATAGGCAATATTTGACAAAGTCCACAGTGGAGGAAAACACAAAGAAATAGAAAAATAAATGAAGGAAACACAGACTCTCTGTTGTGATTCTCCTACTATATCTCAAGTGCTCAGGTGGAATCACTTAATCATAACCCAATTTATCAAGATTACTTTTGAACCTTACTTGGGTGCATGGTGACCTTCCAGCCCCTTTGGAAAATGTGACAAAACCAAAGCAAGCAGTTTACATGAGGTACTCAGCTTCTTGCTCTTTAATACAGATCCAGAAGCTTCAGTTACTCTACCCTAACCTATTCTTTCTACCTTATGAAAAACAATCAAGAAATCCAATAATTTATTTATAAAAACTACTGCCTTCTATAGAAGAATTAGGAAGACTATGGAGACAGCATCCAGCTTGTTAAACATGGAACATTTTCACCTTCTTCATTCTTAAGGCATAAACCTGAATTTCCCCCCTGAGTAGGTTAACCCTTCATTACTTATTATTTGGAGGAGATTCAGTCCAATTCATCTTGTGCTGGACTTTGGTAGAAACATACCGTTACTGTATCTGCCCCTACCTGACTGTTGAGTACAGCTTCTCAGGTCAGAGTAATCTCTGCAGGAACCGGAGCACTGAGCACTAGATTAGTTTAAAAGAAATAGCCAAGTGTAATACCCTTTGGGGGGGGCGGCTTGGGGAAATAATGTTTAAGAAATTCACAATGAACGGGAGAAAAGAGGGAGAAGAATGGTGCAAATGAAAAAAAAAAAGCTACTACTTTTTGCTAACTCATCTTTGACCAACGTCACCTGTTAAAGGTACTGTGTACCAGCTGATCAGCAATAGCTGATTGCATGTTCTTCATTCTTTGCAAATATGATGAAATTAATTAGCTTAAGCCCTTTTTCCTGTGAAACACATTTTACTTTCTGTTTTTAATAACTCCAAACTAGTCACGAAGGTAGCTGACACATGGCAACTCAATAAGGTGCAATATCAAATTTTTGTGCCTGAGACACAAGTGTCCTTGAAAAAGCACACAATTTGGATCTCCAAGTATATTTTTGAATGTGGGATATTGAACCACTGTGCCCAGCAAAGGCAGAAAACTTTAAAAAAGAATTAAAATAATTTAAAAGAAATCAGAACCCCATCCTGTCTGTAAAACTTAATGTGAGACATTACGCAGCTTACTAAAGGAAATAAAATGGTATAATAAAAAAAAAAAACACATGGTGAGGAAGGACAAAGGTTCTGGGGATACGCAGCAGCAGATGGAGACTTCTGTCTAAACACAGACCTTTTATTCAAGCCCACTTCTCCATTAATTAAAGCAGTGGGCAAGTGAAAACAAATATGTCTCAGCATAATTGTCTCTAAATAGACTTTCAGAATTTGCCATGTGAGGTCTCACTAAATCTTTAAATGTAAGTGTCTCTATTCAGAAAAATAACTCACAATTCCAGTTTTGTTTTGGTTTGGTTTTTGCATTAAAAATCAGAATAAAACCACTATTTGAAAGAGAACTGCCTTTGGATTAACCCCCTCCCCCACTCCCTCAAGCTTTATGATTTAGTATCTGTCTAAGGAAAACTATATTTAATTAGGCTCATTAACCTTGCAGTGTGAACATGTCTTTTTTTTTTTTTTTTAAATAAGTCATCTGCTAGTCATCTGCACAGTCATGTGGCTTCAGGGATAAAAGTAATTAAAGCAGTTACACTATAGCTAATTAGCCAATATTCTGTAATCACTCTTCAAGTTTACTTTTTCCTCTGAAGACATTTGAAAAAATCACTCAAAATCTTAACAGGAAATTCATCTCCTCTCTTTGAAAAACATGAACCCAAAAATACCAGGCATTTCCTCAGAAAACAATAAATAAAACCACTTCATTAGTATAATTACATAAATACCTAAGATACCTAACACATTCCTCATAAAACAGACTAAGCCTTTCAGAAGCTTTAAAAAAAAAGTGTAGATGGCATCCCTTCAGATGGTGAAACAGAAAGCTCAAGAATGCCGGAGGCTGTAGTTTCACAAGCATTTTAAGGCAGCACTGTCCTCAAAAGAAGCTGCCCCCCCCAAAATGGTTATTTCCTCCTCTGTGCCAGAAACAGCATGTGTGCTCCTGCTCTTACCATGAACACATGACAAAATGGGTAAGGGAAGTGATGAAAGCTGTTATTTCTGGAGAAGCGACTGAAACTGTGTCCTGAAACTTTAGTGGAGAAACGAGGTATTCAGCTGGACGCAGGCTGACCTCAGCTGGCCATGCATAGCCGAGCAAAGCCACTGAAGAGAGAGAAAAGGCTTCAGGATCAGCTTTTGTTTCAGTTATCACACCACATAATCTCCTTAAAGGTTTGGGGGTTATTCAGTTTCTTTGAGACAGAAGCTGTAGATATTTTCCCATAGTGACTCTTGCCGTTTCGTTTTCAGAGGGGTCCTCCTTGTACGTGACAAGTTCAGTCTCTGAGTCATCAGCATTCAGATACTCAATGCAGGACACCAAGGCACAAACCCTGAACTAGAAATCAGCTCTACTGTCTTGTGACATGAGCTAAATCACACGACATTGACCATGGATCCCATGAAATGGATCACGGTATCCTGCAAAGCACTCTGAAAACCACTGACAAGCCTTTCCTCTGAAAGCTGCAGAACAACAGGAGCTTGGTTTCCTGCAGGTCCAAGTCCTCTGCTGTTCCCTCTCTTCTTCCCTGGCTCCAGATACCTCTCCTCACCCCAATAATCCACCTGTCCTGTTATGGTCCTTACAACCATGGAGTAAAACAGGACATTACTACTTGCATAAAGCCCCCACCAAAACAGACCTAATGAAAAGTCATGTAATTGCTGAGCTGTGCCTGCCTTTCCCTCAACAGAGAGACTGATTTGGTCACTCCACCCAGTCTCTGACTTATTTCTGAGACCTCTATCTGTCCTTCAGCTTTGATTAAAATTATCAAGCAGATTCAAAGGTGTTAGAAAGGAACACTGCTGAAACAGAGCCACAGTACAGGCTAAAACCAACTATTAATATATTAGAACAGAATTCTGCTGTCTTGAAAAGGGATGCA